TGTTGTTCTCCTCAGGGACAAATGTTGCAAAGGTAGTGAACAGTCGCTTGGACACATGCAGCAGGGAAGTGATCCGTCATGATGACCTGAAGAATGTGGTGAAGCTGGCCAGACTGAGAGACCATTTCATCTGTAAGTCCTTCCGCTCATGTACACAGCATCACACAAGTGTGAAGATTAAACGGCTTTAACGTCTGTGTTGTAAATACATAAGATTAGTAAAGAGCATGGCTCTGCACCTCTTAATCTCACTTATAAACAGATGTTTATTTAATCCATGCAAAGGCCAAAGTGTGAGATGACACAAAGAGGTTTTACAAGGGGATATATGTTGTCCAGCAGCTGCTCTCCCAAAGAGTTGGATGCAAAACTGCTGCTTAAACCACAGTGACTCATTCTCTATTGCTACACCTGCTCAGTCAGCAGGATGAGAATTAAGCAATATAATAGTATTATTCTTCACGCAACTCTTTGGATCATTCTTTTTAACAATATATAGTGGTCAAATATACAGTAAATGTCTTGAGGGCAGATGGTATTCCTGTAGTCTTCCTGTACACCAGTTGATGGCGCTCTCCTCTCACAGTCACAGTGGAGTCCACCGGCATCCTGCCCCCCGACGTGCTGGTCACAGAGGCCATCAAAGTCCTCATGACCAAGTGTCAGAGGTTCCTCAGTGAGCTGGACACTCCGAGTGTGGAATGAAGTCCTGACTGAGCATGCTCAGAACCACCAAGGAGGAAACCCCCCCCCCGGCTGTCTGGACTGCCGCCCCTCAATGGCTCTGTGGGAATGTGAATGTATTGATAAAACCCAAACTGAACTTATAGAAAGCAGATGTTGTTATGGTGGTTAGACTTGCTTGTAAGTATGTATATACCACTGTCTCTAGAATTTTGTACACGCTGTTGATTTTGCATATTAAACATTACATCTCCGATAATATCCACATATTCATACATGCAGTAGCATTTTCTGTTTGAGTGTTTGCTCACTCTGTGTTGTTCAATAAGAAAAACAGTATTAAATCTTTTTTTTTTTAACCAATACGATACCATAATAATTTATTGTCAGCTCGAGCCTGACATTTTTCTTGCATCACAGCAGCTTCATAAGGAACATCAAACAAGGACAAATATTTAAGACAAGATTGAAGGAAAACAAACATTTAACAGAACATCACAATCACTGAAGAGAAACAAGCTCAAGACCCTCTAACGTACATTTGATCTGCGATTAAAGAGGATTTAGAGTGCTTTAGTGTGACCTTATTAAATGCCCGGACCCTGTACCTCCTGAACATGGTTGGAAAATATTACATCAGTAGACGCTACCTCATTAGCGACGGTACGCATTTCAGATTGTTGCCGCGCATGCGTACCTGCGTACCAGTTATGTGCACCCCTGTTTATATAGACCTGAATAATGAGTGTGATATCAGCACTCGACAGCATGTGTCAGATGTTCATACATAAAGCTCCTCTGATACCCTGTCAGTTATCCTCTTATGTCATATCTTATTTATGGAAGCACAGCATGTATATGAACAGTGCACATTACACTTTTTTTACTGCGTTAAAGCCCATTGGGTGTATCAGCCGGCCGGCATTAGTACATTACAGATCTATCAAACGTCTGCCAGTACCAAGAAACCGCTGCACACAAATATGTCTGAGGAATTATGGAACACTGTCATGATTTCACAGTGGTGTAAAGTAACTAAGTAGATTGACTCAACTGCTGTACTTAAGTACAATTTTGAGATAGTTGTACTTTACTTGAGTATTTCAATATCTTGATACGTTGTACTCCACTACAATTCAGAGGTAAATGGTGTACCTTTACTCCACTACATGTATTAAATACCTTTAGTTACTTTACAGATGTGGATGAATGATGTGAAATATAATCAAGTGTTAAATCAGACTTTAGTTCCACCTGGAGTAAATTCACAAGCTACCCTGCAGTATACAAAGTCATTCAAACTAGCTGCACCTTTACCAGCTTTGAGAACACTTTAATGATCAATCATTATAAAACATATCATATATATTATTCTGAAATGGACCAATCTGCACAATGACTACTGTTACTTTTGCTACTTTAACTATATTTTCAAGCTAATACCTTTCTACTTTTACTGAGTAACATTTTAATATCTTATAAAACGGACAAGTCAAATCAAGCAATCTGATTGGTTCTTAGCCGTGATATACTGAGCGTATACCACGGGTAGAATTGTAAGTTACTTTTCACAACAAGTCAGTATCCCTCCGCGTCTGAGAAAAACAGTATACAGTTGGGCTGAAAAGCAAACTGCTTGCACAGTTAAGGGGGTTGTCGACCCTCCGCTTCGCGTCGGGCCGAACCACGCCCCTTAACTGTGATATAATGGCCATATACCACGGCCTGTCGTGAGCTATTGCTTAAATATATATTATTCTGAAATGGACCAATCTGCACAATGACTACTGTTACTTTTGCTACTTTAACTATATTTTCAAGCTAATACCTTTCTACTTTTACTGAGTAACATTTTGAATGCAGGACTTTTACTTGTAACAGAGTATTCCTGCACTGTTGTACTTAAAGGTGGGGTAGGTAATTTTGGAGAAACCAGCTCGAGTGTGCTAGAATATGAAAATACACAACCGGAAAAAATCTGCCACTTCCTTACAGAGCCCCTCCTCCAACACACACGAACGCGCACATGACCAATGAGGGCACGAGATAAGTTTGTGCACAGATGGAAGGCTGACAGGCAGGTAGGCCATCCAGTTACTTTAGCTGGGCCGGCTAAAATGATTGGTCGTGCTTTTTACAGTACTACAGCTTCCACAGATGACATTTTTTTATGGATTTGTTGTCAAAGCACTTAAGATATTCATTGCTATCGGGATGTTAAGAGCATTCCATGGAATATAACAAAAAGTGTCGGTTTCTCAAACTTACCTACCCCACCGTTAAGTACAAGATCTCAGTATTTCTTCTTCCTTCCGTGATTTCATTCTTTGTCACTATAGGCAAATGATGGGATTTAACACAGAGGTCATGAGCTCAAGGCCCCCCCACCCTCGAAATAATCCAACCTGAAACTGCAAAGACTGTAAAGGGTTGTTTTGAGTAATGAAAATGTAAAGTAATTATATTTAGTTTCAAAGCCTTCTTGTGCAAACCAGATAAGAGAGCCATCTTTGGGGCTGGTGGTAGTGGATGTTAGGAGGCGTAGCAGCACCAGCATATTCTCAGGTATACAAGTCCAAAGAGAGCCAGAGTATAAATGAAAATGTTTTATATACTTAAAGTAGGAAACATCACTTGTGTTTTAGTGTGGCTTTTTGGATAAAAACAGAGTGAAAAATGTTTGCTCCCATGCTTTGGACTAACACAAAGTCATTCATAACACATTCAGAACATGTCAGCTTTGAAGACACGTGTCCTGCCAACCTCATACACTCAATGCTGGAGGGAGAACCTCCTCCATCTAGCAGGGAGAGTAAGGACCAAATGGGAGAGTCAACCATGCAGCTGGAGCATTCGGCGAAGAGTTTCCGGAGTGGAGGCTCCAGATTAAAAACTTGGCATTCAGAGGAATTTAAAGAGAGTGGTCCTGGGGTCGGGGGAGAACTGATGAATATGGTCACCCTCTTCAACTTCAAATAAAGATACAAACATGACTGCAAAGACTATATTTTTCACACAATAATACAATACAACGGATTATGAAGGGATTGAACTGGTCAGATTCAGCTGCGCAAATAATGAAATAAAAAAGCAAAATAAGTAAGATATCCACAGTGATGCATTGCATGCTTGGTAATACACGTACATCTCGTGAAAAATAAACTAGCAAGTAGCAATAATACAGTAAAAAAATACTCTCAGCTATAAGTTCTGATTCAAAATCTTACATTAGTAAAATGACGGAAGTAAAAGCATAAAAATGTACCAGAAGTAAAAGGTATTCATTATTTATGATGCCCCATTTCTTAAAATAATAAACAATAGTTACTGATTTGTTTGTTAAAAGTGGAGCTAATTTAACTTGATAGTGTTGCTAGACAGCTTGTGATAAGCAAGTGGATTCTGGGCCAGATGACATGCAACTCAACCAGAAGGTCAAAGGTCAATGATATCAGCTTAGGCAAAGTAAGCATGAGGCTGGAGGAAGATTTTTCAACATGGAAACCTCAAAGATTTTCTCACAAGAAGCCTATAACGAATTTTATTAAGCATACTTAAAAGATGTAATTACTATTAATACTTGATAAGTTATAAGAAAGTGATCATCACATTGATTTGTCAAGACTGGATCGTTTCAACATTATTCTGTGCATCTTTATTGTGTTATCTGTGTTTTGCAGTGATTTTTAAAATCAGCCTGAATAATTTAGAATGACCTCCAAACTGGCTTTGGACCAAAGGACAACTCAACAACCCCCAAAGTGAATAAACTGCGTCAAGCTTTTTATATGGAACTGTCTCTTGTATTTAGTTCTCTTCAGTTTTCCATGGGTTATGGTCAAAGCTTTTCCGCCTTTATAAATATACATATTAAGAAATAAAGAAAATAGTGATAAAACAAAAGGTAACATTTGAAGTAAAAGTATTTATAAAAATATACATTTGGTTTTGATTGCCTTCTTATTCTTTTTACAATTTTTAATAGTGGTGCCATATTGTTGTAATTCTAAGTAAAAATTAACAAAATGTAGTTTCGAGTTTCGTCATGTAGCCTAAGTTGCAGAAATTACAAAAGTAGTCAATATCAATTTTAAATCTCTCTAGTGTCTTTTTTACAGGATAAACTAGGCTATGTACAATTTTTTAATGAAACCTCTCTAACTTTATTTAAAACGGATATATTCTTTTCGAATGTCCCTGAGGCCAGGGTTACACTCTGGATGCAGTTTCTAATGCATTTGTAACATTTCATTCACTCTCATCACCATACATCCATGCTCATCACACTGGCTTCTCATTGATGCGTCACTTCCGTCTCCTCCTTCGCAGAGCAAGATGGCGGCCGTCGTAGAGAGAGTTGATGGATATGTTGGGTCCTTGGACTCAGACTCGGGGTCCCCGAGACAGTGCAGCCCTCCCCCGGAGCAGCCGCACCAGAACAACCCGCTGCTCGGGCTGCCCATCGTGGCCATAGAGAACATCCTCCACTTCCTGTCTTACGACGAGATCAGCCTGCTGCGCGCGGTAAGAACAAAAACAAGCAGCCCGAAGGTGAACGGAGCTAAAGCTAGCCAACACGTCTGCTCTCTGGACACTAGTGATGTGAAGTCGGAATATAAATGACTGTGGAGACTGTTATAAAGCGTGTGGTGTCAAACGTGTGTACAGCTGTGTACTTAGCGCCACGGCCACAGAGCTCAGTGTGTTAGCTGAGAGGAACGGTTCCATCACTGGACCCAACACACACACACCAACACACTGCTATATATGCATGCTGTACACCAACACACTGCTATATATGCATGCTGTACACCAACACACTGCTATATATGCATGCTGTACACCAACACACTGCTACACATGCATGCTGTACACCAACACACAGCTACACATGCATGCTTTACACCCCACACACCAACACATGCATGCTTTAAACCACACACACACACACACAGACACACACACACACACACACACACACACACCAACACACTGCTACACATACATTCTTTTCAACAACACACTGCTACACATTCATGCTTTACACTAACACACACCACACACAGCTACATGTGCATGCGTTACACCACACACACCAACACACTGCTATATATACACGCTTGTTCACAGGAGGAGGGTGGACCCAACAGTGAGACGCTGCATGTGTTTACTCCTGTATACCTGCGTAGGGATGGGTATCGTTAAGGTTTTAACGGTACTACTACTTTTATCGAAACCGGTCCGGTCTTTTAACGGTACTTTTATCGGTTCTTTTGGAGAGAAAAATGAGGTAAACTAACTATATGTTGTATGTCAGGGACTACGGATGGAAATTAGCTCAAAGCTAAAATCCGGCATATTTACACTTGAAGCATTATTTGTCTAAAGTGTTAATTAATGTGCATTGTCCCTATTCAAATAAATGAAAATAGACAAATTGTGAACAACACTAACATTGCTTTTTATTTAAATGAAATACATAATATTTCACATCAAAAGAAACAACGTTTTAACAAATCGTATTACATAATCTGATGACAGAACTGTAAACAGAATGGCTGAAACTTTAACAAAATAAATAACTCAGTTACCTCTAATCATTAACCCATGTTTGTATCATTGAGTTAGCTCCGTGTGTTGCTGCTAGCATACATAATACCTGACGTGGAAACGTTACTCGTGGATGGGGCAACAGAGCTACTAGAAAGACAGTCAAACCCGGTGCATTTCTCCGTCTGAATGTGGTGCACTTTTGCAAGATGTTTAGACAAATTGCTCGTGTTACCTTACTTGCTAAACTCTTATTGCACTTTAGGCAACGAGCGAGACGGGACCTCGGAGCGCTTAGTTCTCTCCTCCATCTCCTCCGTGTGTGTGTGTTGCTGCATGTAGCAGCTGCGTGTGTAAACTGCCCCGCCCCCTCGCACACAGACTGGGGAGAGAGAGATCTCTCGCCTGGATTGGAGAGATCGAAAATACTAAAAATTACCCATTTTGCAGTCTTTTTGCATGTTAGAAACGGAGTTGGCGACACTAAAACTGCAATATAATGTTTGTGTAGCAATAATACACATGACATATTTTTTACATGTCTCCAGTACCAATAAAAAGACCGATAACGTCGGAGCTTAACAGTACCACGGTCTTTAATAATTCAGCCCCGAGGCCCGTTTAATACCGGGGCTCGGTACCCATCCCTACTCACACCACCTGTCCCTGTGTGGTATGTGCTACATGATTTGGTCTGGTTTCATTAAAGGTCCCATGTCATGCTTTTCCGGTTATTACCCGTCCCCTTGTGTGTTATGTAGCTTTTTCTGCATGTAAACGGTCTGCAAAGTCACAAACCCTCAAAGTACACCCGGTAGCGAGTAAAACTCTAAAGGCCCTGACACACCAAGCAGTCACCAGAGAACTCGCCGACGCCGACTGTTGCGTCGCCGTGTTCTCCTGCGTCTTGGCCATGTGTCGCACTGGAACACACCGCAAAGACTTCAGCCGAGCACGTACAAACTGCGCATGCGTGAGTGGCAATAACTCTCCTTACCAGCAGGCGGCGGTAGTGTGTATTCATCATTCAAAAGAGGCAACAACCGGAAAGACAGAGAAGAAGAACAGACTGCGTGATCTAAACAAACAACATATAGCGTGTGCGTTCCATTTTCACTCTCGTCCATCGAAAACATGTTTCGTGCGGTACTGGAGCTATCAGCCATTGGAGTGTTGCTTGTGGAAGACATTCTCAAGCAACCGTTTCGCTTCTCATGCACTGATTCGCTAGCTGAACAGCCAATCAGAGTGATTTCTTTGTCCGACTGCCTGTGGCCGACGGCCATGAAAGGCCAAATAAGGCGTGTCACGGCCGACAATGCGGGACACACTTCGTCGTCCGACTAACGAAAACGGCCGATTTCGGCCTGGTGTGTCAGGGCCTTAACACAGAAAAGACCTGTCTATGCTGTCCCAGAACGCCTCGTTGGAGATTTCTCTTTTTCTTCCTGGGTACAGTGACGTGCCCATACCCAAATGGACCAATCCGTGGAGCCGTTACGTTACGTCCGCGGAGCACAATATAAATCTATTTTAGTATACCTCAACAATGGAATTATGATCAGTAGAAATGGCCATGACATGGGACCTTTAAGTCATGTGGACTTTGTTGCATCAGTTGTGTTTTTTTTCAGCCTCAGTCTATGCTGCTGTTCATGTATTCCTGGGTTGCATGGTTATATGAAGAGCAGGTGTCCACAGACGGGCTCCATCCTCCACATGGTTCTGCAGGGGAACTGAAACTCTGAAGTTAATGTTCACACATTAGTTTAGCTTTCTGCGATTCGTATCTTTTTTCTTATTTAATTTAAATGAGTCGTCATATCTTTTAATTTTGAAGATCGAAATGTACATTTAATGTGAAATGTATTAATTTTAGTGTGCGTGTATGAAATATGTTGTGATATCATATGTGTTAATGTTGTTATTGAATTGTATGTGCTTTATCCTGTGTTGACCTGCCCAGGGACTGCAGGTGGAAATGAGCTGCTATAATCTGGTACAAAGCATCTTATCTCTTTGAAATGTATGTTCTTCTTGAACATGAGGCGCTTTCACAGGAATAGTTCCGATAGTTCCTGGGATTTTGCGTTCACACCAAAAAGATCTGGAACTAGAACTTTTTTTCGGGAACCTTTTCACCCCTTTTCAGTCCCTGCTAGAGAGCAGGGACTTTCCTGGGGAGGAAAAGGTTCCAATTTCTGATTGGCTGGGCGAATTGCAAACCACGCCCCGTAAAACTCAAAAAAGTTTTGTGAAGCCGCCATTTTATTTGCTCGCATTAGCATTAGCATTAGCCCAGCGCACCAACGGAGAGAGACTAACTTATGGCAACACAAAATAAAACGTGGGAGCGGTGGAGTGATGAGGAGGTGTCAGCGCTTCTGGCGATTTACCCGGGACTTCGGGTGGCAGTATACGCCGTGAAGTTGTTTGCGGCCTGCCAGTAAACCCAAAGCAGAAGAAGAAGAAGTGACGTCAGCGGCTTCATTTGCGTAATCCTCCCTCAGGGGACTTATTCCGGTGTGAACGCGATTTTACTAGGACAGTTCCGGGACTAAAGAGTTCGGCGGGACTAAGTACTGGGAACTAAGTACGGCAAAGTACTTGGTGTGAAAGCGGCTATTGTCCCTGACAAATAAGCCAATAAACTAAACTATGTTGGTGGTTGTTGGGAGATGGGCTGCCACAGCAGATCCTCACTTGCACTCCCACAGACTGAGACCCTAAACTTCTGAGCTCTATTAGGTGTCTTCACTTACATGTTACATGTCTTCGCATACATGTTAACAGTTTCTCTTTTTTTTTACATGTATATGTTTTTACTGGTCTACTTTTTGCATTTATTTGCACATTGTGTCACTTGCACATTTATTTTACAATATTTTATTTGTTTTATTTAGATTGAATTTTCATTTGATTTCTATTTATTTTTGCACTCTCCATTGTTATGTCTTAAGTATATTGTATGTTGCATTGTTGGAGGAGCCTGGGGTGTCAGAATTCCATGCCAGAACTACGCTGTAGCTACTGTGCAGATGAAGCCTTTGAACTTGAATCTTTGAATATCCTCTTTACAGATATCTCAACATTTATATAGAATATGATACAAAATATTCAAAGGAAACCTGTGATGCACACACTTTCTACACAGCCTCTATTTTTATGTATTTTCTACTAAGAATGTAGTCTTATTGTGCAGCTGTATTAGGGAAAACTGTACTTAAGTACAGTCCAATGAATCAGTGTTAGGGAAAAAATAATGAAGATACCCCGTGTTCTGAGTCACCTGGAGACTTGTGATCACGACAAGGTGTGAGGCAACCACTGATCCAGACTGCAGCTGGAATGTGGACATGTGTCCTGATCCAGACTGCAGCTGGAACGTGGACATGTCCTCCTGCTCCCTCTCAAAGGTGTTTGGCCTGTGTGTGTACTCCTGAGACAGAGTCCCTGTTGCTGAGCTGTCTTCTGTTGTGTCTCCTGCAGGTGTGTAAGCGCATGGACATGATCTGCCAGCGGATCCTGAACCAGGGCTTCCTGAAGGTGGAGCGCTACCACAGCCTGTGCCAGAGGCAGGTGAAGGCCCAGCTGCCCAGGTCAGTGTCCACAACACATCTGGTCCCACACACTTTGGAACAACATGAGCACAAGGACATACCAAAAAAGGTTCTGAGGACATTTAGAAAACTGGATTAATGTTTCAGCGGTGTCTTTGGGTCACTGGTGGTCACAGTTAGTATTGCAGCCTGTCAGTGGAATTTTCTTGAAGTAAATAAGGCCCCGTCCACACGGAGACAAAACGGATTTCGAACCAAAGTCGATTTCAAAAAAGTCTTCCGTCCACACGGAATCGGCTCAAGAAACGTGTCCATCCAAACGAAACCGCTCGAGACGCTGTAGTACATATGCCGGGCCTGTAAGTGGCGCTGTACTTCCGCCACAAAATACACCAAAAGCAGCAAATAAGACCCCCCGAGCATGGGCATAAGGCATAAACAAACAAACAAGGTAGAAGATGGTGGATATTCGTGCAAGAAGGGAGGCATTTGTGTGGACTGACGACCCTGTGATCCGCCATTGTTGTTGTTGTTGGCGAAACGCATCAGCAATGACACGGGGGTGAGCAGGAGAGGCGGGGCTATGGCGTCATCGGTTCAGGAAATAATCGTATAGAGCGTACACGGAGCCGCAAGCGTTTAGTCTCCAGACCTACCCACTTTCCACTTCGTGTGGACGAACCGTCTATAATACGATAAAGAACTTTAGCGGATACAACTGAAATCGTCTCCGTGTGGACGGGGCCTAAGTGTATATGGTGATTAGGGAAGAAAACAACATTGATTTTGAACAGGGCAATTATAGGTTACTTTTGCCTCTGATGCTGACATTGGAGACATTTACACAAATACCTTGAATGTTGGCACAGTTTAGTCCTACGTTTGCCCCTGGATTCTGACACTGATGTAGATGTAGCTTTTATATATTTGTTAACTATTGTATTGCTTCGTATTAAAATGATCATTATCAAATACCTAAAGTACCTCAATCTGTGGCTAAGATTACTTTCTCATAGCAGGGTGACGGCAGCTACAGCCTCTCTACATGTGCTCTTAGTTCAGTAGTAGGACAGAGACTAAAAAGACAGTCATTTATACTGGGGACATGTCCCCACCACCTTGCATTAGGATCATTTGTAAAAAATATTCTGAAAATAGTGTGCACAAAGAATTGTACACTTTGAGAAGGTTTATTTGCACAATAGAACATGTTCAATCTGGTGGACTGTTCACACTTTCTGGCTGTATTTCTGGTAACCCAAGTGGTGCAGTTTGGACCTGAGACCACGTTGGATATTATAGTAAGAATTGAATCGAGAATAGCTTCGCAGCATAATACCATAGTTACTGCACTAGTTAAAGTTTTGTAAGCATATGATGTATGTATGTGTTGTTTGCGGGGGCTCAATGCACTAGTGTTTTTTTAATCTGAAAAAAGTGTTCCCACCAGTTTAAAAAGAAAAAGTTGTCAAAGTGTTTTTTGTTAAAAGGCTGTTGTGCTGCCAGTGTACACAGACATGTAGATTGAAGCTGAATACTGTACATGTGCTCTCTCACTGCAGAGGTAAAGAGCCACGATGTGCTGACTGCTGTTTGACTTGAATGTGTGTGTTAGGGCTCATCACAAGGAGTCCAAAACTCAAAGCAGGTTCAGAACCTCTAACTGATGCTCTAACCCAGGGGTTCCCAACCTTTATTGTGCCAAGGACCGGCAGATACATTCAAAAAAAAATCGCGGACCGGTTGCCAATTTGAACTGATTTTAATATTTACTCACCACCAGCAGGTAGCAACAGAGGCTAATTGTATGTAACAGCCTGAACAAATACTAGAACAATATGCATCCAAAACATATTAACAACGTTTAAAAAAGAACCGGTGATGTTTTTTGGTTTTTCGGAAAACCAAAAAAAAAACAATGTTATTAAACCAAAACGGTGTGTGTGTGTGTGTGTGTGTGTGTGTGTGTGTGTGTGTGTGTGTGTGTGTGTGTGTGTGTGTGTGTGTGTGTGTGTGTGTGTGTGTGTGTGTGTGTGTGTGTGTGTGTGTGTGTGTGTGTGTGTGTGTGTGTGTGTGTGTGTGTGTGTGTGTGTGTGTGTGTGTGTGTGTGTGGTGTGTGTGTGTGTGTGTGTGTGTGTGTGTGTGTGTGTGTGTGTGTGTGTGTGTGTGTGTGTGTGTGTGTGTGTGTGTGTGTGTGTGTGTGTGTGTGTGTGTGTGTGTGTGTGTGTGTGTGTGTGTGTGTGTGTGTGTGTGTGTGTGTGTGTGTGTGTGTGTGTGTGTGTGTGTGTGCTCACTCACTCACTCACTCACTCACTCACTCACTCACTCCTCACTCACTCACTCACTCACTCACTCACTCACTCACTCACTCACTCACTCACTCACTCCTCATAACTCACTCACTCACTCACTCACTCACTCACTCACTCACTCACATCACTCACTCACTCACTCACCACTCACTCACTCACTCACTCACTCACTCACTCACTCACTCACTCACTCACTCACTCACTCAGAGACTCACTCACTCAGAGACTCACTCACTCACTCACTCACTCACTCACTCAGAGACTCACTCACTCACTCACTCAGAGACTCACTCACTCACTCACTCAGAGACTCACTCACTCACTCACTCACAGACTCACTCACTCACTCACTCACAGACTCACTCACTCACTCACTCACAGACTCACTCACTCACTCACTCAGAGACTCACTCACTCACTCACTCAGAGACTCACTCACTCACTCACTCACTCAGAGACTCACTCACTCACTCACTCACTCAGAGACTCACTCACTCACTCACTCACTCAGAGACTCACTCACTCACTCACTCACTCAGAGACTCACTCACTCACTCACTCAGAGACTCACTCACTCACTCAGAGACTCAGAGACTCACTCACTCAGAGACTCACTCACTCAGAGACTCACTCACTCACTCACTCACTCAGAGACTCACTCACTCACTCACTCAGAGACTCACTCACTCACTCACTCACTCAGAGACTCACTCACTCACTCACTCAGAGACTCACTCACTCACTCAGAGACTCAGAGACTCACTCACTCAGAGACTCACTCACTCACCAAGAGACTCAACTCACTCACGCATACTCACTCACTCACTCACTCACTCACTCACTCACTCACTCACTCACTCACTCACTCACTCACTCAGAGACTCACTCACTCAGAGACTCACTCACTCACTCAGAGACTCACTCACTCAGAGACTCACTCACTCACTCAGAGACTCACTCACTCACTCAGAGACTCACTCACTCAGAGACTCACTCACTCACTCAGAGACTCACTCACTCACTCAGGAGACTCACTCACTCAGAGACTCACTCACTCACTCAGAGACTCACTCACTCACTCAGAGACTCACTCACTCACTCAGAGACTCACTCACTCACTCAGAGACTCACTCACTCAGAGACTCACTCACTCACTCAGAGACTCACTCACTCACTCAGAGACTCACTCACTCACTCAGAGACTCACTCACTCACTCAGAGACTCACTCACTCACTCAGAGACTCACTCACTCACTCAGAGACTCACTCACTCACTCAGAGACTCACTCACTCAGAGACTCACTCACTCACTCACTCACTCACTCACTCACTCAGAGACTCACTCACTCAGAGACTCCACTACTCACTCACACTCACTCACTCACTCACTCACTCACTCACTCACTCACTCACTCACTCACTCACTCACTCACTCACTCACTCACTCACTCACTCACTCAGAGACTCACTCACTCACTCACTCACTCACTCACTCACTCAGAGACTCACTCACTCACTCAGAGACTCACTCACTCACTCAGAGACTCACTCACTCACTCACTCAGAGACTCACTCACTCACTCACTCACTCACTCAGAGACTCACTCACTCACTCACTCACTCAGAGCTGAGCACACACATCATGTGCCTTGGTGACTGACATCGCCTTCATAAAACTAATAAAAGGGGGAGTAATCGGGCAGTTCGATGTGTGTGTCCCGCTGCCTCCTGATGCTGCAGCCATTTCATGAAGGAGGGTTTCCTTCTATAAAACAGCTGCGGGCAGCAGATACCGTGAGAGTCCCGGACATTAATTCATAGATCAAGGCAGACTGGTTTACTCTCCTGTTTTGCCAATCCGGTGCTTAAACAAATAGCTTTTCACCCCTGGCCGACATGTCCTTAAAATGAAGTCCGAGTTTGAAATATATCTCAAATAATGTATGCACCACCATTTCCCCACATAAACATAACAGTCTGCAATCAAACGGTTGTCTCCTGTGCGCTCCTCTTCCTACTTGGCGCACCGGTAACATGCTCGTGTGCACAAGAGGCTGAGACCTTAGGCTGAGCCGCCGAATCCCTCGGAACATCATAAAAGCCATTTTCAACGGTTTTCTGGTGAAAGATGAACTAGCTACTGGATGAAATAATATGACTGGTGGCATAGGTGCGGAAATTAAACACTTTTTGAAAAAGATATTATGATAAAATATTTTTATATATTTATAATTCTGCAAATATTACGATAAACTCACAGCTATTTCGCGGCCCGGCAGTAACACCTCCGCGGCCCGGTACCGGACCGGGGGTTGGGAACCCCTGTTCTAACCAACATCTCCTCAGGCGAAACCTTCTGTCTGTCTGAGTAAACATGTTTCCAATTAATATCCCTCAGAAAACTGTACTGAAATGCTTTAAAAAACGATATCTTAACATGGGAATGTGAACAGCCAGACAAAGTCGGAAGATTAACTGCTGACCCAGCTGAAAACATTTTAGGAACGCTTTTGATGCAGACGTGTTGTTTGAATCATTAAAGAGAGAATCACAATTCATCAAATAATTGACCCTGCCTTATTAAACCGGTTTCTCCTTAGTGGTAGAACATTGACTTATTCCATTGCACTGTGTAGCTCAGGGACAAGATATAGTTGTCATGCACCATTTAAAAAGAAAAAAATTGTTCTCTGTTAAAAAACGACCCTAACCAGTGTGTTAATCTGAATGTTCTCCAGGCGAGAGTCTGAGAGGAGGAATCATTCTCTGGCCCGTCACGCAGACATCCTGGCTGCCGTGGAGACGCGCCTGTCTCTGCTCAACATGACTTTCATGAAATACGTGGACTCCAACCTCTGCTGCTTCATCCCTGGAAAGGTGAGCTGCCTCTGCTGCTCCCCACTGCAGGAGCAGGAGTCTTCCTCACAGAGGAGAGCAGGAAGCTCACACTCATCTGTTTTGATTTGTGCCACGACGTGATTTCTTAGTTTCTCGAGCTGTCCACAGGAGAGGCTCTGAGGTCTTCACAGCATTCAGTCCTCTCCTGGTGTACTATCTTATCTGCTGTGTCGTGTGTCTTTGTTTTTTTAGGTAATAGATGAGATTTACCGCGTGCTGCGCTACGTGAACTCCACTCGAGCCCCCCAGCGGGCTCATGAGGTCCTGCAGGAGTTGAGGGATATCTCCTCCATGGCCATGGAGTACTTTGATGAGAAGATCGTCCCAATCCTGAAGAAGAAGCTGCCGGGGGCCGACCTGTCCGGGCGCCTCATTGGCTCCACACCAGGTAGTTGACACGTGTTTCTGTGGGCGCTAAGAACGAGAGTTCAAAAGAAAAGTCACCAAAAGCAGCTCTCATGGGGGCCCAAGCTTCACTGTTGCGGCTTTCACACCAGCGCTTTTCCCTTTCTAGCTCCTAGCTAGAGCTTTTCTGGTTCAGCTCCGGTTTCCCTTTTCTGCTCCCGCTCTGTTCACACCGCCCAGAGCTGCCGCTGCTGCGTCATGACGTCACCGTTTACATCGCTGATTTGCTCCCCAACGGCGCTCACAACAACAACAACAACGGGGGACTGCGTCGGGTCGATGATCGTGTTGCTTTTAATCATACGAAGCCAGATTAAATTAAATAACGACTTCTCCAACCTTATACTTTTCTCCAGAGTGCCGTGGTTCATTGTTTATTAATGTGTTTCAGCGGCATTTAGCGACCGCTGCAGTGCTGGCTGCTCTTCCACGGGAGTTTATTCTCCCGTTAGCTCCGGGTTAGCTCACACGGCTCTAAAGTATTCACTGTCTGACTGTCACACAAGCAGCTGACACATATCCCCAATTCCCCTTAAGTGAATGTGTGTCAGTCTGAATTGACGCTGTTTGGCATCACAACGCTGTTATGAAAGTGTCTCTGGTATAACATGCGTGATGTTAGCATAGCAACCGAAGCTAAACTGACTACTTGCTAAGCCGTTTTCTACAGGCACATTTTACCGGCGTATTTTTCATTATGATTCTACTTGTGATAGTCGGACATGACAACCTGTGCAGCCCATGTATTGATTCCATCCGATAGCTGCTATAATAAAAAACAAAACGTCTGCCTGCTCTCCACAATGATCAATAACAGCGAACGGATGGTCAAAGTAAGGTACAAATAAACAGAATCACACGAAGCCTGGTTAGTGTTGCCTGACTTTATAAAGTGTGTTTTTTTTTTATAAGTGTGTGGTTGCCTTCTAGTCACTTTGCTCAGCGCTACTGCTTTGTAGGCAGGCATGACGAGACTCTACCGTCGACCCATGTTCAGGGAAGGTGGGTTTAGTTTCCTGCACGCCTCGACGTAAGAGAGACGTAAGCGACGCCGCCTCTTAGCTCCGAAGCTCTTGCTTCTAGACCGACAATTTTTTGGAGCTGGAAGTGAACCGCATTCCGGAGCTAAGAGGCGGCGCCACTGCGGTGTGAACAGGAAAAACCGGTACTTTTCAGGCTCTAGCTCCGAGCCGGCGCTGAAAACGCGTTGGTGTGAAAGGGGCATGTGAGGTGCTGAATATTCACATAATATCTGTCCTTTCAGCACTGAGGCTTATTTTCACATAAAAAATAAAGTCTTTTGTGGCAAAAAAGTTACGGGCAAAAAACAGTGAGTCTCTGTTTGTGGAAGGGTTTTCCCACTTTAATTTCCCATCTAAAAGACTATTAATGTCTGCTGTCATGTGACTCATCAATCATTGAAACATCAGAGTGTGTTCTGTTTGTTCAACCTTGTGTCCGACTGTTGCTGTTGAGGTGGCTTTGTTTTGCTTTATTCTTTCATTAGCTCCAACTGTTCATTTATCAGACGTATATTCAATCACAATTATTGGATTATTTTGTTCAAGAAATGGTTGTGTTTTCTGCTTCCCCAGTGTGATGCTTTCTGTTGCTGTTTATATCATGCTACATCAATGGCTATACAAAAGTAGACATTTGATCATTCACACATAGATTGTATTTATTTTTTAATTCCTTAAAGGGGACCTATCATGCAAAATGCACTTTAGTACGTCTTTTATACATGAATATGTGTCCCCGGTGTTCCAGGGAACTCACCAAGTGTCAGAAAACACAACCCTCTCTATTTTCCTCCATACCCAAATCTCTAAAAAAGGGGCTGCAACGGATCTGATAAAAACTGATGCAGATTTGAACACTGTCCTGACGTCAGGGCAGTGGCGCTACGGCTATTGGGCCAACTCCACCAATCAGGAGGAGACAGCCACGGCCATTGCCGTTCGAAAGCGTTGGAGACGCTGTAGTACATATGCCAGGCCTGTAAGTGGCGCTGTAGTCTGCCACAAAAGCAGCGAAGAAGACTTCCTGCCCATAGTTACCATGGTTACCCTTCTGTTTATTCTCCGCTGTGGCTTTTTTTCTCCCTCCCCGAGGCAAGCGTTTGCTCCCGCTGCTTTAATTCAATGCAATCCCTCCCCGTCGAGGCAAGCACTGTAATTCTCTCCGGTTAGTCCACCAGCAGATGACAAACACCCACCTCTCCGCCTCTTCCAAGGAACGAGGGCACCGTGCGGCAGAGTTTCAGTTTCAGTTTCTTTCGCCGGTCAAGATGTCCGTTAAAGTTTAAATCTTCCGGACAAAATTAGAAAAGTGCCGGTCAAAGGTCTTCTTTGTTATTTATTGAGCTTTAAAACAAATGAATAAAGACTCTATATAGGCTATAATAAAATACGGAGGACGGAGATATTTTTTTCTCCCCCTCTTGACTTGATCAGAGCACGGCTCCCCTCTCCTGCAGGGGGCCGTGGTCAGCTGCAGCTCACAGAATCAGCCCCGTAGACAGCAAACAGCACATAGAGCGAAATGAGGCATGGCTAAAATGCATGATCTGTTTGGTATTTTGAAAACAGAAATGTATAAATATACCTTATATAGGTATGGCCCTATATCATTTAAATATAGCTTGATAGGTGTCCTTTAATTGAAAAAATACCTGACTGATTAATCTATACAAAAACAGTTTTTTAGTTTCAGTTTTGGCACATTCTTCAAGACAAAATGTTCTGCATTTTCCTTCTGCCCTGCAGCGTCTCTTATTGCGTGTGTAGCAGTTTGTAGTGAAGACCCCTGACCCTCTGTCCTGTTCCCCCAGTGGCCGGACCCTCCACCTCTCTGACCACCATGTCCCTGCTGGCCAAGAACACGCCGTCGCGCTCTGAGATGACCAAGGTGCAGCACCAGGTGAAGGTGAACGGGACGTCCATGACGGTGCTGCGGCGGGAGATGACGGAGATCCGGGTGAAGCAGCTGGAGCAGCAGAAGCAGCTGCAGGACCAGGAGCAGAAGCTGCAGGAGCAGACGCAGGTGATCGGGGAGCAGAGCGCCCGGCTGGCCGAGCAGGAGCACAAGCTCCGCGAGCTGATGGACAGCAGTGCTGCTGCCATGGGGGGGGCGGCCCCCTCCACCTCCAGCAGCGCCGCCGTGTCCTCTGCTGCGGCTGCCACGTCTGCTGGGGGGTCGGCAAGTAGCAGTGGGGCCTCTCTATCCACAGGGCAGGAGGGCGAGGGGGGGGCATCGCTCAAACGCAGCAGAAAGAGCTCAGAGCGCCCCCGACAGTCCAAACGGCTGCGCAGCAAGAAATAACACTGACTGATCACACCTCTCCCCAATCCCTCGCGTCACCCCCCCCCCCCACCAACACATGACCTGTTCTGTCCGTGAGAGGAGTTGGGAGTATCGCTCTTCGCTTTACCCCCCCACTAATAGGCAGGTGGCCTTTGCAGCTTAGACTATTTATTGAAGGTTACATTAAAATGACTGTATAGCTTTTTAATGTAGAAGCTTTTATAAGAGGCCTATATGTTTGCAAAAATGTGGCATGGCTTAACAGGAACTCAGATGGTCGGTATTTTTGGTTCACATTGTACATGTTATTAATGTAGTTTCTGAAATAAAATCTACCAAGAGATATTATTTTGGAAACCTGCACAATTAAATAGGATATCAGAATACAATTACGGACTCATAACAGTCCTTACATCTCAAGTTTAATTACCACAACCTACAAAATAAACCAAATGAATGTTGCATGTTTTGGGTTATCAATTAGCTCCTCTCCATTGCCACATGGGCAGGAGCTATAAATCCATAGACACTTTTTATATTCACATCAGCTCCTTCCTAGCTGTGGCTAAGTTGCAGTGGCTCGGGTGGTTGGCTGCTCAGACCCTTTAATTTCAGTCTGGTCCATTTTTGAATCACCAAAAAAAGAAAGGCTGGGTCAGAGTCAGCTGTTGAAAAAAGTGATTTGTTGCCTGGTGTTCATACTTTTGTTTTATTCATGGATAAAACATGATGTGCATCTGTTCCTTTATGATCATACTAGTGCTTCACGCAGCCTATTTAATACAAATAATACACGGACATCATTTCACTGCAGAACGTTCTGCTCCTGGAAACATATTTGAATATCGCCAAACATATTTTTCAAAATAAGAGAAATAGTAGTTAAACAATCGTGCATTATTTCATACATTGACATTTTCAGTCTGAAAACTCACTATACTCTCACTTCAGCAGAGTCTGATAAGATGAATTGCTTTTGGAGTTTCTAGAAACAGTAACTATGTTGGAAGTCAGCACCGTACTGCACACTACATACTGAGTTAACCAGTATGCTATCACCAGCTGTCTGCTTGATTGATAGTTTACACTGAAGTATCAAGCAATATGTTTTCTCTGCATAACAGACTGCATGGCTAACATGACTGTTTAGATCACATGACCGCAGGTCCACATCACTTTAGCTTACATGACCATCGATTGTAATGTCACTGGTCCGTGCCACCATGGAATGAAAATTGAAACAATTATTGTTTAATACTGTAGCTCTTAATTGTACCATCAACCATCATGCCTGATTATTTTTATCCAACAGTGCAATAATTATCTGCCTGCAGTCTGAAGAGCCGCAATGCATTGTGGGGCAGTTGATTATGTTGTGTAAGCTCTCTTCTCATGTTCTGATATTGGTGTTAATCTAGTACACATTCAGGCATTTGTCACAAAAACATAGCCACATGCTAAAGCATCTGGAGCACACTACATACTCAACATGACATCACTTAGTGAGCAGGATGTTGATAAGCAGTAATGCTTTACAGAAACAGCTGTGGCATGATTTAGACTCACAGACTGGCTAATTATTTGTAGTAGATGGGTGGAATCACACAGCATGGTCCTAAAGGAAATGATGCAAAATAAAAGAAGTCTACTGTACATGTGATGGCATTCTAAGGGTCTGTTCATCCAAATGATACATCTTCTCACTTCCTCTGTCAAGCTTGGGTTTTTCTGGTCCATGTGTAGAGATATGTCTCTAAGACATCTGCCCCAATCCCAAAACAAGGAAGGAAAGCTAACATGCCTGGACAGAGGGAAGTTATAAATGATATTTTTAACCCTTGAAAGTTTGTCAATTTTTTTTCTTTTAAATGTTGCGACTTACTTTGACAGTGAGGTTAAGATGGTCCCTTTCTGATGAGGTAACTATGATGATTGTGAGCGGTCTGCAGTGACAGAAGGGGAGGGGGGGGGGGGGGAGGACTGCTGGCCCCCCGCCCCACCTCTTGCCTTGTGAGGCTAGGTTAGCTCTGAGCCCATATTGTGGCTGCACTTTTGTTCTCTCTGTGTGGAGCTCTTCTGTTGTGTGGAGAACATGAACATTTGGTAAAGAAACTTTGGAGATGCAGTTCATGTCCTTGTGAACACTAGCGTCTATTACAATGTCACTGGGCAGAAACACATAATTTAGTGGCTTAATTTGAGACTGCGTCTCAGTTTAGAAAACTGTACTGTAATTTCCATGTACTTTAAGTCTAGATTGTGAATTATTTCATGTATGTATGCCAAGAAAACTATCCTTTGAGTTGGCTAACATGGGGCTAACTGCAGTTTTGTTTTCACACATTGCTGTTACAAATGTACACATCAAACCTATTAAAAACTCAACATGACTCACCCACCTCTCTCTGTTTAAACCCATCACACTGTTTTTACAGGCAATGTTCACCCACCTCAGTCACTACACAGGTTCATTTATATCAGCTCTTTAACTTTGAATATGTGCATTCTAACATTTAAGCCTTAAAAGGGTGCTCTATTATTTTGTCTTGAGATACACATTAACAAACACAAATAACCCAGCATGACATTACAGTACTGGTGCTGTACTTGAGCTCAATGCTAATGCTAACGCTGATGCTAAGCAGGTCACTGGCAGGCTGATGCTAATGCTAACATTAGCAGTTAACAATCACAGCTGAGGTAGAAGCAGACACACAGCAGAGAGGAGGTGTCTGCAGATTTGGTGAACATTCTCTTTGGATTTATCCTTCCCATTCAAGACAATATTTTACATATTGCAGAAAGTGGCACAAATACACATATTAAAAACAGGCCTGGCCTGTTAAGTGGCCTGCTGGCCAGAGGATTTTTATTTATGTATTGTGAACGCAATGCTGTGGCCTGCCGACATGACCACTGTCATACCGATCATACATCCAAGCTCTCGATTGATCTCTGTGGGGAGGTGCTGTTTCAACAACAATCGTTGCCCCCGGACCGCCCTAGAGGATATGAGGCCCACCCCCACTTAAAACATGTTCACATGGATAGGTTCCCAAATAAATGTGCACACTTTATAAAATAGTAACCTACTGTATGTTCATATGTATCTATTTGGGTAGTAGGTTTAAACTATAGTGCTTTCACTATACGCAGCAACGCTGTAAATATTAAAGATACATCCAGCAAAATGCCAAAAACTAAAACTGGTCGTGGCCTGGCTGGGTGTATAATTCCCGGCCTTGTCCCAGTCCGGCCCTGGTTAAAACACATCACTAAAAAGCAATCCGCCCAACAGCTCTGAGTTCAGGGCACACCCCATAATGTTCTCCATCATCCCTGAGGTTTTCAGGATTAGTGACGCTGGATAAAACAGATTGTTGATGCGAGAGACCTGTCTACTGTCATGACACGCTGTCATGACACGCTGTCATTCCCTCTACTTGCTGTATAGTGTAACAGGAAGTGTTCTGTTGTTTTTCTGCAGCAGCATTCTAAATGTAAAATGTATTAATTCCTTCGGTTTCTCATATCAAAGTTACGGGCCGTCTCCACAGCAGCGTTAAAAAATCTTGAAACGCTTCTGCCCATTCACTTTGAATGGGCTGACGTCACTTTCCCTCACTTTTCGCCGAAATGCATTGTGGGCAGGCGAGCGGAGATTTTGAGGATTTTGAGGATTGACGGGCCGTCTCCACAGCAGCGTTAAAAAATCTTGAAACGCTTCTGCCCATTCACTTTGAATGGGGTGACGTCACTTTCCCTCACTTTTCGCCGAAATGCATTGTGGGCAGGCGAGCGGAGATTCTCAGGATTTTCAAGATTCAAAGTTGAACAATGTTCAACTTTTGAAGCTGAGGTGGAAGCGTCAGCCAATCAAATCCCGTGTACGCAAATCTGGCAGTTCAAGCTCTAGCCAATCAAACGGCGTGTATGCTGGGAGAGACATACCGCAGGTCATTTCCTCATATTCCAAAAAATGGAGGAGAAATTAGCGGTAGCAAATCAATCACCCGGTGCTTTATGACCAGACCTACCGGGATATAAACCGGAGGAGCCAGGCATGGAGGGAGGTGGCAGAGACAGTGGTATGTTTTCGCCTATTTTGGGGAGTTTATATCCAGTTTACTTTGGGCTTTTTGGCTTCGTATGTCGCGGGCGGGAGATTCATGTGATTGGTTGATCGCAAAAAAATCCCCAAGCCTCAGATACGCCCACCTCCAAGATTTTTTTAACGCTGCTGTGGAGACGGTCCGTCAAAGTTGAACAATGTTCAACTTTTGAAGCTGAGGTGGAAGCGGCAGCCAATCAAATCCTGTGTACGCAAATCTGACCGTTCAAGCTCTAGCCAATCAAACGGCGTGTATGCTGGGAGAGACATACTGCAGGTCATTTCCTCATATTCCAAAAAATGGAGGAGAAATTAGCGGTAGCGAATCAATCACCCGGTGCTTTATGACCAGACCTACCGGGATATAAACCGGAGGAGCCAGGCATGGAGGGAGGTGGCAGAGACAGTGGTATGTTTTCGCCTGTTTTGGGGAGTTTATATCCAGTTTACTATGGGCTTTTTTGCTTCGTATGTCGCGGGCGGGAGATTCATGTGATTGGTTGTTCGCAAAAAATCCCCAAGCTTCAGATACGCCCACCTCCAAGATTTTTTTAACGCTGCTGTGGAGACGGTCCGTTAGTGTTTTTACCAGATACTTGCCAATATAAATGATTGGTATGTAACACTAATTCCTATAACCCCTAGATTCCACCGGGTCCGTCTGCGGCGCGTTACGGCCGCGTTACGTCTGCGCCGCGGCGCTCACGGCGATCGCGGCCACTCTAGTCAATGGGTGGCGGCGCGTTACGGCTCAGAAGCGCCCCAGAAGCGTCTCGGCGCAGGGCTCCTCTAAAATTAGGATGAATCCTATTTTTGACGCGGCGCAGCCGTAACGTAAGGTCGGGCAGGCAGGAAGTGGAACGTTCAGAGCATATAGCATATAGCATATATATATATATATATATATTTGCAGACCCTATCCCTCCGTAGTCTTTCAAGTAGGAGGAGAAATGCCAGCGTTCTCCTCCGGTTTACAGGCACTGTGTAAATTATATATATATATATAGAATAATTATGATGATGAAAGCATTTTTTTACCACTAAAATACAGCAACACATCTTTGATTCATGTCGTTTATAACTGGAATATTACAGTTATTATTAACTTTGTCTGTACAAAGTAGCCTGTCCAGGAAATATGCCCAAATCAACAAAAACTGCGAGCCGGCAGGCAAGACGCTCCGCTTCTGAAATGCTTCTGAAACGCGCCTGGTAGGGTATGACGCCGGAGGAGGCCGGACCAAAACCGCGGCGCAGACGGACCCGGTGGAATCTAGGGGTAAGGCAGGCTTGCAAAAATACAATGAATAAGACATAAAATGATGACATAAGTGGAAATGGTCTTCACCAGTCATAAAGCCATATCCCAGCAGCTTCAATACGACACTGCACAAACAACCCAAACTCAGCTCGACATCCAACTTACACTTTGCATATCTCTCCATACAGTATAAATCATACAGCATTCGTGTACAGATCAGTTACGACCCTCATTTGATGGAATGTTATAATATGAACTACTTGCTCACTGACTCGTGGAAAAAATATATACTCACCCTCAAACCATCTCACACCCAGCTTCCATAACCCCCGCTCACTTTGAATAAGGAACCTATCATCTTCCCCACGTGGAAGTAGAGAAGAGTAACCAGTCGGGGGAACCTCTTTAATGACAGCTCTCTCTTGACCTTCAACCTTCTTCAAAACACTGTAAAACTTTTTCCTGTCAAATAACGGTAAAGAGCTGTTAGCACAGACGCCAGTTCTATTTCGTCCCTACTGACCGCCAGAGGCGGTGCTTTAGCACTGGATATGTCCATCGCACGCATGCGCACCTAATAACAACAAAGTCACCTGTGACCCACGTGACGACCGCTACATAGGCCAGCGTCATTAGTGGATCGGCTCCTTTTCATCTTCTCGTTTCGCGAGAGTACCGCGGCTACATTCTTGTAGCCTACAGCGTTCAGGTTTGAACGTTTGATCGGAGGGATTTCTCTGCATACAGCTGGCCGCGTGCAGCTTCGCGACTGACAGTCGGAGCTACGGGTTGTTAACGCGTCCTCCAGGAGCTGTGGCCGGCTGTGCGCTGTGCAGAGCCTCGACGGACAGGTTTGTGTCAACTTGTTGCTGGTGATGGTTGTGTCCCCGCACCCTCTCCCAGCTAAGTCGTCCTGATTGCTGTCTTATTTATTGTTTGGCTTAGACTTTCTGGTGACGACAGTGTTCTCGCTTCCTCTCCCATAAAGTTGCCCTTATTATGCTCTTTTGAAAGTTCTGCTTGTGGCGTTGTGCCCGAGCTATCATTAGCGTTTGAGTTTCCAGCTTTAGCTGCGTCTCTCATTGAATTTAGTATGGAAAGCCCAGTGTGCCATATTATGCCCGTTTTTTGTTTAGATGCAGAGAGTAAGGTAAGTACTGGCCATAGTTACTACTGTAACTACGGTCCTAGGCCATGTAAGCACTGGCCATGGTTACTACTGTGACCATGGCCTACGGTTCTATGCGGGCTGTTCTATTCCATAGAAGCTAATTATCTGGTCTTAACATTTGTGTTTTGACTTGGTGGCTTGATTGTTAGCAGCAGCCGCTTGGCTAACACCTTGCATATACTGTTAAGCTTAATTATTTAACTCAGCCGGTGAGGGCAGTGCTCTCGCTCCCGCTCCCGGTAACATATGGTTTTGATTGCAGTAGCGCTATATTGTTGTATTACTGCTCCTAGTACTAGACTCCTAGCACTAAGATGAGTAGATGCAGAGAACAATCTTCACTGTGTGTGCTGTGTGCTCTGCATGTGTGGCCATTAAAGAGGATTTCATCCTCCCAATATTATATTATCTAGTGTGCAGCCGTTTGGCTGACACTTTTAGGTACCGGCCACAGTTATGACTGTAACTACGGTTCTATGCCGTGTAAGCACTGGCCATGGTTACTACTGTAACTACGGCTCTGTGCTGTTCTCTTCTTTAGAAGCTAGTTATCTGGTCTTAAACATTTGTGTTATTTGACTTGATCTCGCTTGATTGTTAGCAGCAGCCACTTGGCTAACGTCTTGCGTGTACTGTTAAGCTTCATTATTTAACTCAGCTGGTGAAGGCAGTGCTCTCGCTCCCGGTAACGTATTGTTTTGATTGTTAGCAGCAGCTGCTTGGCTAACATATTGCATGTTTTGTTAAAGCTTCTTTATTTAAACTCAGCTGATGAAGGCAGTGCTCTCGCTCCTCTCCCGCTCCCTGTAACGTATTGCTCTGATTGTTAGCAGCGGCCGCTTGGCTA